CTGGAGCGATAATACATGAAGGAATGAGTTCTTTTCCCTCCCCCACACACATCCGTATCGTCTCAGGGGGTGACCACAGTGTTCTGCCTTAATTCGTGACGTTTTTCTAAGAACTGGGTGCTATATACTGTGCGAAATCAATGGATCATGCGAGAATAAATTACTGGACACCCCTCTTCTAAGAATTCCAATTGAGTGTGTTAGTGTGGCCAGCTCAAGGCAATATTATATTATAAACATCACGTCTCTGCTGTTTATATCTTCAAAGCAAAGTAAACACGCCTTTCATAACAGCTTGAACGAGGAACCTCTACCAGAAGCAACAGGAACTTTGCTGCAAGACAGGTATATGTAACGATGACTTGGCGCAGATAAAGTCGTGTCTTATTTATACTCTGTTCTACTGACAACAGGCCAGCGAAAAATGTAACAATCTACAGCAAAACCATCAATTATTATGGGCGTTATAACATAGGTGTGCAGCTGGACGAAACATACACGTCGAACCCCCCCAGACGATTTAAATCCCTGACGAAACATACACATCGAACCACGACAACGGGTTAACTAAAACAGATATTTTCCAATGCCATGCTTCATGCACTACAACTACGAGAAAGCTATAAATTTTTAAAACAGAACAAATACAATGTGTCCATAAACAGTACTTTAAACAAACCTGACATTCATATGGTAAGAATGCTATGTTGATCTCTTTCAATGTCTTAATCTATCTAGCTGCATTTGATTTGCAGTTCCTCAGGGCACACTGTTAAAACAAGATATTTATGTCCTTAGAACATAAAGAATTCTGCTTTTTCAAAAGAGTTAAGAATACTTGTATATTTTACTCAGCCAGACAGCAGAGTAAATTCTTGGTTCCTGTGCCTGGAATTTAAGGTGATGTTTAGGAGACTTAACCATTTTCAAGCAAAACAGCATGTGAAGAAAGCACCAAAGTCCTTGTTTCCTAGAGATCAACATTTTATATCAGCAAATCAGATTTAATTGAGGCAATTTTTGGTTCACAATGGTCCAATTAAAATAAAACATTCACACAGTAATGCCATCAGCGGCCTGATATTCAACGTAGAAAGCTGTAGACAAGTTGGACACCTGCCTAGAAAGACTACTGGCAGGTGTGAACACTGAAGCTGAAACAGACCACTTTTAAAAATGACCTCACTACAATATGGAATATGCTCACTAGTGCGCATTTGTAACAGATCTTCCAAAATTGTGGATTCTACCAAAAACACGTAAACAGAAATGAACTAGACTAGTAACATTCTTGGTTTCTGACATGGCTTGACACAAACCACTTGTTAATCTCAAAGTGAGATTTTTTCTCTTGTAGGCCATGCTATTTTAATTTTGCCAAAATAATTATTAGTTGTTAAAAGAGGCTAGGTAACACAAAACAGTTAAAAAATGGTAATTCAGTTCACCAAAAAGACAAATTTCTACACACAAAACATTTCTCCACAAAATAAACCTTCCCTACCCACACCATTGTAATTGCTTCACATTGGTTAGTTTCATCCACATAACTTATACAACATATAAAATGCAGTCTGTTATATTATATAGTCTTAATATGTACACATGATATCATTTACTGTTCAAATTTATTGTTATAACATCTGTGGAGAAATAAGAGAGAGATCAACAGAAAATATTAATGAATAAATTCAAATATTTCTACTTGTTGGCTTTGAGTTTTCACAGTCAGTGGCAGAGAAGACAGATGGGTTTGTTGAGCAGTGCTCATAGACTTTCAAAGACAGCATATTTTCTATCAGCTTCATCTGGATAATTTAATTAGATAATATACACTTTATTTAAAACTGAAACCATATTCAGTATAATAACACTGATAGAGAAACCTTTGTCTTTTATAATCTGCCATAGTTACAATTCAAAATCTACTCCACCAAAACCACTTCAAACCACACTACACACAATTTAGTACCACCTCCCTGCACAATTAGGTAGCACACCCTGAACACAAACATACAAGAACTCAGAAATCACAGCATACACTGGAGTGTCAGATACCACTCTTAAAGTGTGACACAAACTCTGTCCTAATTGCAACAATTTATTGTAGTTCTTTTGTCTTCTTTTCTTCTAAACTACATGTTTCGGCCGTAAATGGCCATCATCAGGTGTATTTCTCTCATATAGCTGTTACACTGTATGTAGTTTAAAATTTAAAAGCACCTGATGGCCATTTATGGCCAAAACATGTAGTGTAGAAGAAAAGAAGACAAAAGAACTACAATAAATTGTTGCACTTAGGATGGAGTTTGTGTCATACATTGTGTAGAGGTTAACAGGATGCTTAAATATAATATTGTAACCACTCTTAAAGACTGATACTTGGCTTTAACGCTTTCCTGACACAAACAGTTTCTTTAATACCTTGTCTATTAACAAAAATCACTAGTGACATTCTTTCAGTAATAACTTTATTGGTTTTTCCAGTAATAAGTAGTTCATGCACTTTCCATCTCAGCTTATTCCACTAATCATATTATTTTTCAATGCTTGAGAAAAGTGGACATGACAACATTTACCTAAATATGCAGTCCACTGTAGTACCTGTATAAAAGGCCAGTTTTAGCTTATTTTCCCTATTTACAAGGTAACTTAGGCTCACAAGATCATTATATCCATGTGAACCGAGCATGGACCTGTTCGCGAAATGAGTGACAAATGGCTTCCAGCCATATTTTCCGCGCTACCCTTTCTTTCACGATCCTAAGCTCACCCCCTCCTTCTCTCCCGAAGACCACGTGATTTCCCCTTCCTTTCTACCCGTGTCTTGGGAGGAAGTATGTTGGAGAGCAAGGTCTTAGTCTGATAAGTGGATCCACTTGGGTAAGCACGTCTGGTGGACCAGCCAGGGATATTTTGTAAATTTCAGTTCAGAGGGGTTGGGTTTCAAAATTGCGTTTCGGAATACTCTGGGTCTGGCCACAGACATTGGGAACCAGTCACCAGCTATTGAGGGGATGGCGTGGCGGCAATACGAGAGTTAGTTTTTTTTATATAAATATATATATTATTTTCTGGAGGCCACCTGTGACTGAGGTTTGCTTAGCCTGTATTATATAGACATGTAATTTCTTGATGCCGCCTGTGGCGGACTAGTTCAGTTTAGTTATTCTATGTATTTGTCTTGATTCCGCATGTGGCTAGGAAGGAAGTGACTTGCATTCAAATGCTACTGGGCCAGTGAAACTGGGCAGGTTGTTGAGTTGATGCCACGAGGTGCGGATTAATGTAGGGTGGAGAAACTCAGCCACGTTTATTCTATCTGTATATATATTTTTGTATATTTTTATCATAACTTATTTTGTGTTTATTAAACATTGTTATTGTTATTTTTGGGTCAGTCATTGACTTCAATAATGATTCTCCACTGCGAGCTTGGTTTCCCACGACGATCTTAGGGAGCATTGTAAACACGACGCGAGGGCCAGCGACGACGTACCGCTCCCGACTTCACTGACGCTTGGTGGTGGTAGGGTGAAGATGGGAGAAGTATCGGTTCACATGCATCCATCCATTCATGTCTGCCCCCCTCCCTCCCTCAATAACTTTTGAATAAAAGAGAGGTTTTTGTGGAACTTTCAGTAAACATGATGTCATGCAACAGGCGAGCCATGCAATGACTGTTGCTAGGAAATCGGTAAACACAACGGTACTAAACAGCGGTACCTATTAAGTAACTGTTTTCTACATTGTCTGTACCAAGGCTAAATAAGTAGCAGCAAACGCTATTCAGGAGTTGAGTCTCAATGTAGCGATTGCCAAGTTCAGTGATTATTGAGTACTGAGCCAGTTACTAGAGAGAGAGTAACCAGTCAATTGCTGTCTATCTTTCGCTGGAGTATTTGTGATACTGCCAATGGCAGTAATGTTGAGATTGTAAATTGTGTGATTGTAAGAGTGAGTGGAATAAATTCGCTATATCAAATAAGGCGTGAAGTTATTTGTTGCATGACATATCCCCAACACGTGACAATATATATATATATATATATCACACCACCTGCGCCCACTCCACCTTTGTACTTTGAATTTCCTGCAATTAGTAATAATGACAACGGGAATGCAAACATGTGAGGTGAGAATGATCAACATATGAATATGTTTCATCTCATCATTGGAGAATTTAATTCGGTATTTAAAAGACAGTCACTAATCAAAATAGCAGTTTTGTTAATATTTCCCTTCATCTGTCTGGGTCCATCAGTGAGCAATCTGACATTCCAGAATTAATTCTGGATCAAAGTGTAATTCTGCAAATATGAAGTGACAATGATAAACTGCAAGAACCAATGAAGGAAAATTGAGCAACAGTGTTAGCTGGACCACCATTTACTCTACAACCCTTCCAGAAAAGGCAGCAGCAAAACAACTCACAAATTAAATTCTTTTTACCTGTGCTTCATATGGTATAAAGGCAATGTTAATTTCCTTCAAAGTTTTAATATACTTGGCAGCAGAAGATTGGCACAGCTGGTTAAATACTTCATCAGGACATGCTGTAAAAAAACATATCTTAAACAAAGTACATAAATCATGATGCTTACATGGACTCACAACAGCAAGGCATCCATGAAAATTCTGGAAGTGCTGCTTTCCTTACAACATGAAATTTTCAGAACTGATAAAGATTCATCATTAAATTGTAAAATGATTAATTACAAAAAAACATACTGTCACATGGTTGAGTGATGACAGACAGGGTCTGGACTGGTAACTGGATTTACTGGACACTTTAACGCAAAACCCATGACTGCACTTTAGAAATCACTATCACATAGAAACGTGATCAAAGTCATGGTCTTCAATGTGCTGCTTGGTAACAGCTTCAAACAGCAGACGCTCCCTTCCTCTGGGTTCCCGAACTGTATCTGGCCTCAGCTACCACCTTCTGCAACTCTCAAGTGACTGTCTGCCCCCAGACTCTCAACTTGGACTCGATTCGGATTGACTGGTAGTGGCAGCTGATCATCGTTATATAGCCACAGAAAACACTGCTTCCTACAGCTCTTCTATTGTTGCGTGCATGCCTGTTGCAGCCTTCACATGATGGCTAAAGAGCCACTGCTCTAACAACGGGCATGTTTATGGAGCTGTTCCCTAGCAACGACTGTCTATGCTGGCTCTACAATTCTGGCTTTCAGCAGCAGACATGCCACAATACTTTTATACTGACATACAGTATTTTATATTAATATTAGATATTAGCAAAATCTGAAGGTAGAAATACTACACACAAAATTGGTCAAACTAGGGATACTGTGACAAAGACTTGTATAATGCATAGATGACAACAGGATTCCTTTTGGGGCCTCAAAAATAAAGGTATTCACCAAACAACCACTGTGAAGACCAAAGACAAAACAGAGAAACCAAGTGAGGGTAGACACACAAACGAGAAGAGTGAAAATCAGAAGAGGAAAAAAAAAAAAGCAAACACAATTACTGGAGGACAGAGAAGATACATGTCCTGTTATACAGGTATCCCTAGAATTTCTGCATTGTATATGTCCGCCCACCCATGTGTGCATATGCGGGTGATGCTTCTAAACATAACTACACATCCAGGATAAAACAGGTTTTGTGCTATCAATTTCGAACATCTCAAATATAATACAACTTCATCTCATATAAATGTGCATTACATCAGTGCAATCACATCTGCATTTTTCTAAAAAATAACACATAAATCACAGTTGTACAGGAAATATAAATGTACTTATATTATTGGCTGAACTTTCATTTTAGAACACCCAACATTTTTTTCTCAATGATATGACAAAAGTTGTCTCAATGCGGTTAGTCGCTGACTTCCCACCGCAGCTGCCCGGGTTCAATCCCATGTCTGGTCAAGTGGGATTTGTGGTGGACAAAGTGGCCCTGGGGCGGGTTTTCTCCGAGTACTTCGGTTTCCCTTGCCCATCTTTATTCCACCAAATTATAAATCATCATAATCACCCGAGGCAGGCTACAATAGGCCAATCAGTGGCCGCCGTGCAGAGTGGACCCAGTTGGATTCCACCCCCCAAGCGAATTTAAAAAAAAAAAGTTGTCTCAATAATTTTCACGTAACTTACTTAAGAAGCAACATAATATTCTTTTCACAGTCTTTAAAAATTTATTTTCACGGGGAGAATTAACCAAACATCCATCCATCGATTTACCCATCCACCTACCCATCAATCCATCCACACACCAATCCATCCTTCCATCCATGCACCCAACCACACATCCATGCATCCATCCTTCCATGCACCCACCCATCCCCCAACCCATATATCCACCCACCCATCATTGCATCCATCTATCAATCCATCAACTTTCCTTCCAGCCAACCAAAAACATATTAATGATGTGAGCCTTACCTTCTGTAAAATAGACATGGGCTGCCTTGTACATAGAATGGTTAGAGCTGGCAAAATCAGCCATAAGTGCCTGAACTGAACTCTCACACGGAGAGATGAGGTATACTGCTTCCATTGTTGAGAGAGGTTCTCTCTTTTTACGGATGTCTTCAACTACTACACACACAAAACAACAGTTTGTTATAGACAATTTCAGGTGTACATAGCAGTTAGAGCTCATGTGGATCCTGCTTGTGCCATACAGAAGTAGGCTGTATTTCAATTCTTTTGGACAGCTTTACACTCAAATACAGGCAAAACAGCCTACTTCTATATAATGTCATCAGTCAGAAACAGAATCTATGAAAGGTATAAAAAATGAAGTTTCCTTGCACTTAATTAATTAAGCATCATTCCATGAAGATGTATGCATGAGTGAAAGTACACCACCACATTCTTGACCTCAGCACTAGATTGAGGTGAGAGGTCAGCTTGTCAAGCTACTTTGCCCATGGGGCAAGAGAAAATGGTATGCACTGAAATGAGGCTGGATGAGCCCCAGCAGAAGTTTGGATGCTGTGCAGTTGAGAAAATTCTGTTGCCTGGTCAGCCACGAATAAAGCTGTGGCCATCCAGCCCACAGCCTGTCACTATCCTGATTAAGCTATCCCATTGCCAGAAGAGGATCTACATTAATTTATTTTGAAATATTTGCGCAGTTAAGCAAAGTCATAAATTTTACAATTCCTATAACAATTTCTGAGACTTAATGGACAAAAGATATTCACTGAAGACCCAGGTTCCCCATAAAGTAAAGGTATCCCTGTAACAGGTGGTGGAGGCCCATAGTGTTGTGATATGTTGAGGTTCCCACATTATCTAGACAATCAATTCATAGATGGCAGTAAGGTTGTCAGCCTTACACGCCGGCCGCCCTTTACCCCCAAGAATATTCCAGGTACTCATTTTTTTTAGAGGCTGAGTCGACCCGAGGGCTATAGTGGGGCTTGAAGGTTCAGGTAAAGTGAAAAAATCCACCTCACTGGGATTCAATCCCGTGACCTTCCGGCTTGTAGCATAGTGTTTCAACCAACTATGCTACCGCATGCCCCCAGGTTCCCCACACTATGTCCTGTTAAATAAGCTAGGAAAGTAATGAACGCTTCTGTAGTGAGTTTGGCAGCAGATGAAAGGCCCTTCAATTTAATGAACATGGCCATTGATAGAAAAAACTTGTTTCCAGATATGAATACATCTCACTCATGGCACTGAATATTTTTTCTGAACAATCTTTAATGGACTGGGATGCAACACCATTTGTCACATTATGGTTACGTCAAGGACACCACAAAGCAGATGATAACAAAATCAGAAAGAAAATGAAAGCAGAATATTAACAATGACAAACAGTTGCCTGCAGTTTACTTTAGCTTTGCACTTCGTTTTTCTTCCCCCCACCCCGCCCAAAAGTCAGAATAATGGCTAATTTTGAAAGAATTAAAAAATATGTAATTCATTAATTTATTTTATGACCGTTTTAGATCTGTTATGAATAACGAATTTGTTATATTAATGAAAGATGATTTACAGTTAACTAGATCTGAGAGAGTCGCTTGCTCAGTTGTCCTGGGGTATGTTTTCAATACCTTACAGCTGGATGGTTATGAGGCTGCCTCATTTGGGTCAAAAAGTTGAAGTCAATTTTTATAATAAGCAGGAAAGGTTTAGAACCTAATCTCCCTGTAGTACAATTTATTAAACACAGCATTTGTTCAAATGCAAAGAAGCAACTAGACATTCTCAAATAATACACATTATAAAGGGCTAATAAAAGTACTTAAAAGGTCAGAATTTAAGCAAACTTGCTACTAACAAACAGGAGTGACACCAGATTCTGCTGGGTGTAGTTAGTTGAAACATAACCACCCGAGCTACTTACTTGTGACACCCTCAGCAGAAATGTCATGCATCTTGCAGCAGGCTGATACCATCCTCATGGCCAACTGATCCACCACCAACACACGCCATTCCATGCCTTGCCCTGGCTTTCTCTTATTTTTAATCACCTCATTCATAATCTCTGTTTGAGGAAACACAGGTGTCATACAAACAGAGAACATACATTGGAATGCCCAGGCTTTCAAAACCAGTTAATATTTATACATCTAACCTTCAGTGTGTGAATAGCCCATCACTGTTTCATTACTCCAGTAGTGTTTCAGAGTTCAAGAAACTAACTTCAGTAAGCAATGGTTGTTAAGCCACTCAACATATTACATGCATTTTATGGAACCCAAAGGTTCAGTACCATATTCACAAGAACCTACCGTTGTTCCCTGTTCTCAGCTAGATGAATCTAGTCCACCTCCCCAATCCTACCTCTCTAACATACATTTCAATATTACCCTGAACATCTATATCTAGGTCTTCCCAGTGGTCTCCTTTATTCAGGTTTTTTAGAAAAATCCTGCACACACTCCTCCCATGTGTGCTGCATGCCCTACCCCCCTCTTGCCCACCTATAAGACTATATAGTAGTCAAAACCCAGAAGACCACAATATGGGAATTACATTAACATACTACTGCTGTCTGCTGTTTATGAGATGTCACAGTAATTATATATGACGAGTATGTCAGATCCCATCATATGACTAGCAAGTTAAATCAAGGAACCTTTTCAGTGGAGTGAATCTACACCATTAACTGGAGAAACAAAAAATTCACGTGAAACTGGGGTTGAAAAACAATATGGAAAGAGATATCTTTGGAAATAAGGCTTACATGGGAGAGCATAAAATGAATTTTGGGTAAATCGGCCATAAATTGGTTTTAACTGGGATTTTGTGGTAAGAGTCACAAACCTTAGGTGCAAAAATGATGGTATTTGTTCAGTAGCTGAATAATGACAGACTATTCTTGTGCCTGATTATTTATTCCTACTTCTACCAGGAACAAGACTGCAGGCATATAAATTCTTGAGGTGGCACTACAATCAGTATTATTTAACATAATACAATGAAATATATTTTTTAAATCTAGCCACTGTTTATTGAACTATTAAACTTATACAAAAATACTGACAAAAATCTGATCTATTTGTAATAGGCGAATACAAAATTGTTCTTTGAAAGGGACTGTAGACAGTAAAATATTCTAACTGGGAAGGACTGAGTGATCTCTGGTAGACAGCAGTGTATTACAGATATGGGAGTAAAATGTCAGTTGAAGGGTGCAGAGATTGCCTCCCATATCCCTACCTTCAGTATCATATTCTGACATCCATAAATGAGGATGGGTGGTCATTCTTTTACCAAAATTGTTTCCAGACTTATCAAAATATGCCATATCCTAATTTTTTCAGTAATTCTGCAATCCAACACAAATTTCATATAACTCTCCAATACAAACAGACCCAACAATGGGTGTAAAATTCTTATATTAAATAAATTTTACTTCAGTATCCTACAAAAACCTACAGAATGAGGTGGCACTTTTCCTCCTGCCCCCTCATATCAAACACTTTTGGAATTGTATGTTACTGACATTTGACTTTCTGGTATCCATGAATATCCCTGCTATTGATAACCGTGATAACCTCCTAATGATGTAATTTTTCGCTGTTTGGCGGAATGCCAACCACTGCACCTAGCATAACATCGATTTTCTGTATGCGTCATACAACCCACATTGTGTCACTACCATTAATTATTTCAAAATTTGTAAAAGAATGGAAACTAATTAGCGCTACAAGTCCAATATAAAAAGAACAAATTTATACGAACATCAGGAAACTTCGGTTAACTTTCAATTGACAAAACCCAGCGCTAAAGAGACATATGAAATAATTACAACGATGGCAACAAGTGTGCCTCACGAAATTATTATTTATTATTTATATTGATTACGTTCCCTAAAAACAAAATAATGTTCCTTTTACGATTCGTAACATATGTCGCAAAATTTACTTAATGCACGTCTTTTAATTAGACCAAAGATATGAAGTGATATTTTATATTCCGTTGTAGTTATTAGCTATAATCTAGCTCTCGCGTAAAATACGGTGAAACGTTCCACAGAAACGTTCGTTATTAGACTGTTAACTTATTAATGGAAAAATTCTATTTCGTTCCACGACTGACAATGAAATAACCAGAGCAAATATAGTGCATATACGTAAATCTTTTCCTAAGCAAGAGATCATATTCGTCTGTAGAATGCGTAATACGGCGCGAGTTATTTGTCGCATGACCTACCCAACACGTGACAATATAGTGGTTTGAAAAAAAAAAAGTTTTACGATTACACTGAAACTACCATCCAAATAATCCATACAGCAGTACTGAAAAGATAAATAAATAATCAAGGTACTTACTCTGTCTAATCAGTTCTTTCAACGCCATATTGACAGACTGTCCATTACTAAGGTTACAAATGACACGTTTCCGATATTTCCTAGGTTTCCAGTCCTGCATCCACTTGGCAAACCTGACATTTTGCGTCGGAAACATTACGTCAACGTATACAGCGCGAAATTCAAAATTTTTTGGTAAATAGAGTCTAAATTGAAGCCTGTGTATGAAATTGTCAGTTTTTTTCAGCTAATGACAACACAAATGGCTCAGAGTCTTTTTATGATGTTACTTAACCTAATTCTCCTGTTCAATGTATGTATAAGGGGTGGGCCTTCTTGGTCCTTGCACCGCGCCCACAGTGATCTATTTCTATTGTTCTAAGTTATTATTACTACTGCCAGGCACTACAGCTGCTTTACTACTAATAATATTGTAGAAGTGAATCCACTTCATAGAGAAGTGTCACTTCCTAGGTAACGCATTGTCAAGACATTGCGTGACAACAAGCGTCCATTGCTAATCAACAGCTACCAGTTTCTAGGCAACGAATACATAGGCAGACCGCTACCTAGGAAATTTCCTAGACAAGAGACAGAATTTTTCGAGTCCCCTGTTGTATCCCAGTATTTCAAGGATACTCAGGTTCGCCGAGCGGTGAGCGATTCGATGTACGGGGTTGGGATTAGGTGGAAAGACAACAGCAAGCAATTGGATTTAACTGTGTTATATTGTTAGAATAAGAGATGCTTGATGAAGTACATAGAAATGGGGCAGGCACTTTAAATATTCCCTACAAGGGGTGAGGCCGCAGTCCTGCCCGTCTAACCCTTGTGACAACTGGAATCCGACTCTCTGTGCCTCGCCTTCATCTCCAAGCTGCAGTCTGCCCTAGTGCCCCAGTCAGTCTGGGTTCTGTCCTTCACACATGTGTGGAAGGGGAGGAGACCACCCACATATTTGTTTAGTCTATGCATTGGTTACGATCCGGTCCACAGCTTGGAAAGAATATTTAAGATGCCCAAGAAATACAAAAATATAGTACACAATTATACAAGTACTCACACTTCCACGTATGCAACACCTCCCCTCCTCAGGGGAGACCAATTTACCCTTTAATTGGTCTCAGAAACAGACTTGGAAGAACGGAGTCGGCGAGACCTGCGTAACTCCGGTTCCGTATTGGGTGCATTTATTTCTCGTAATGGCACGTCTTCTTGTGCCACAGCTAAGCTCTCATTGCTTGTATGGATTTTAATATTCACTATGTTACCTGATCTATTTGAATCTGTTATGGCCTTTATGCAATTTACCTTTCCTTTCAAACAGTTATACAGTTTGTATATTGCGTACATTCCAATTAAAAATAAACAAACATACACCAATGCAGAATAAGAGTCATGGGAAGTTGTGTGTAACCTTTCCCATTCTTGTTCCATGATGACGCGCTCGACTTCAGCTGTCATAAGGAACAGAGCCCTCTGTTATTTTAGGGTGTCATAGGGACCAAGCACCAAGCCCTCTTGTTATTTTAAGCTGTCAACATACATCAGCCAGCGAGCGCTCTGAGATTATCGCTAGCTGTCATAGCTGTTCATTAGCCACGAACCCTTAACATATCAGGATATCTTATTACTATTGGGTTCGTGGCAGGGTAAAGACACACACAGCTATAAAGCTGACAACCCTTCGACAGTATAAACAAAGCGTTAGTGAGCAGTACTCACTAATTGAGAGGGAGGTAGAGGTTATTAATTTTATGCTTATGACTGAGCCAAAGGAGTGGGAATACACAACACATTCCTTTGAGCCAATGCTGTATATTACTTTGAATATAACCTTCCTAAGGGCAGGAGACAGTCAGCAGACAACAGTCAGCAGCCAGTGGTGTAAGTCGTCTGTTCGACTCACTTAATAAATCTATCCTATTTTCTACCAGACAGGACTTTGAGTTTTTCTCAGTGCGATTGGACTTCGCTCCACTCCACATCCTGTTCGTCATCTGCAATTTCCTGGCAATCCGGTAAAACACACAACTACCGGCGATCCATGTAATTTTCGGACATACTCGCAAGAGAACTAAATTTGTATGGGACGACAAGACTGCTCCGTCCACCTACCACTTTGTCTTGCACGTCGAACCATACAACATGGTGGCAGCGAATTGGGATTCTGCCAAGACAACCTGAAATTGTCATTGTGAACGAACTCGTCAAGAAGACTGATCACTTTCGAGACAAGGAGGAGTGACGACAACACCTGAAGGGAAGACGTTTCTTCGAGGAGAATCTTCTTCTAATACACTCACTGAAAATCTTTGGGCTAGTAACTGGGGCTGGTGAGGATCAAACGTCATCCAACAACAAGGGTTGGTCCTGACACCGACAACGCGAGATCGCAGCTAGCTACTCCAGCTACTCCAGCAGAACGTCCAACATAGTCCTGTGTCCATTAGCTTCCATCAACGCAGTATGGACGCTGAGGCACGAACTACTGGCAGTCTGGTCGCAGCTTCTGTCGCATTACTCCGTCACCCTCTGGGGAGAGGACGGGGCACCATCCTCCATCACTACCGGACGAACTACAGAGCTTTGGACACCCTTGACTCTTCTAAGGTGAGTCAAGACCCTTTAATAGTTAACAATTGTGGAGGCTTTATAATAAGTTTTAGAGGAATTGTTTAAAAATGGCTGATGAACAAGTTAGGCAATTAATGAGGAATGCCGTGGAGGCAGAGAGAATAGGGGAGTACTGGGCAGTAACTTATGCCGAGAAGTTACGGCCAACTTTTGTTGGGAACCCTAAAGAGGTTCACAATTTTATTTAAATTGTTGAATCAACATTGGAAATGTTACATGAAGTAAGAAAAGCATCGTTTGTTAAATGTATTCTTGCGCACATTGTAGGTGATGCAAAGTTTAAATTGAATAACAGAATTATTTATACGTGGGCAGATATTAAGAAAGCTTTAGAGGAAAACTACACTACGAAGCGTATATTAGATTATACAGCCGGAATCTTGTTCATAGGCAGACAGTTTCAAAGTGTGTCAGTCATGGAATGGAGCAATAGATTACTCAATATTGCCAGAGAACTTAGTTTTGAGGTACAAACTAAATTGATAAACTTAAGCCAAGATGATCGTACATTAGATCAATTAAGTTACCTGAGAGGAGATAATGATGATGTTAATGAATTATTAAAAGGTACATTCGTGAATGGCTTAAAGGATGATAAAATTAAATATCTAGTAAAGAGTAGAAGGCGCGATGATGCCACCCTACTCCAATTGATTGAAACTGCCTCGAAGGAGGAAAGTGAACTTAAATCGCAAATATTTCGTTGTAATCAGAATTGGTTGACAGGTTCAACTCCTGGGCAATCAAGAGGTCAATGGCAGGTTCCCCACCCAAAGATTAAGCAGGAAATTATTGCCGTGACTGACGGTAGAAAATGTTTCTTTTGTAATCAAGCAGGGCACTTAATGAAACATTGTAAACAAAGGGTTACATGTGAAAGATGTAATCGTAAAGTTTATGAAACTCGCGATTGTAGAGCAAGGTTAGATGGCAGAGTTCCATCGCAATTACGCTATCCAAGAGATGGAAGCGGTGGCGGGGTTTTACCGCCGGAGGCTGGATCTAGGGGGGAAAGTGAACAGTAATCCAAATAATAAAGGCACCCTGTTCCAGGGAAACTGTGTGTAGGACCATTTGGAGGGCAGTCACAAATGGATCCTGTTGTTAATGATGAGTTTTATGTGAATAATTTTGACTGTCTCAAAGAGGGTAGCCTGTTGAATTAAAAAAAAAAGGTGCTAGCATCGACCACCCAATGATACCATTCGAAGGTCGGTGAGGTAGTCGTGGGGTCCCTTGTACTAGTGAGGGTTCCTCGAAATCACCCACTAGGAGGTTGGGTGGGATTTCGAAAATTGAGAATCAAAAGGAAGGTTATACCCTGGGTCCTTATGAGATTTTCGTAACCAGTTCGCAACTCCGAACAGGAATAAGGGTGGAACTGAATTGATACAGGTGCACAGGTATCACTCATAGCTAGGGCTGCGTTACATCCCAGATCCAAGCCGAGAGATAATGATTTGTTTAAAAAAAATGGGATTACTGGTAATGCAATGAATATCAGCGGAGAAGTTGATATTGATATTGAGCTGAGGTCAAGTGGGCCGGTGCCGAGAACTAAGTTTGATAACTTTAAAGGCAATAGAATGAATATCGACGGAGAAGTCGATATTGATGTTAATGATAATGGTCATCATTTGTTTTATGTAGTCGACAAACTGCCTAGACAGTTAGATTTAATTTTGGGACAAGATTGGTTGATGAAGAACCATTTTATTGTTAAAAGAGAAGTTATACCTGCTTTTTCAGAAAAGGTTGTTCAGCTTCCAACAAGAGAAAAATGTGTTAGGTTTCTAGATATTCAGGAAATACAAGCTGGTGTTTTTGTAGCCAGATGTTTTATAGAATGTGTTAACGGACAGATGATGTGTCTTATAGTAAACACGACCCATACAGAGCAGGTAATCGAGCGAGTTCCTATTTTGACTAAACCTCCGAAAATAGAAATAGAGCAAGTAAAGAATGTAAAAGATAGAACAAAATTGCTAGATGAAAATTTAAGGTTGAGTCATATCCCAGAAGGAAGGAAGACATTAAAGAAATCTGTCATGAGTTTGTTGACATATTTCGTCTCCTGGGAGATAAGTTGACCGCAACCACAGCAGCACAACATTTCATCCCTACACCCTCCATTCCAGAAGGGAGATGCATTACCCTAAAGAATTATAGACTAGCATAGGCACATAGAGACGAAATTAAGAATCAGGCAGCGCAAATGATAGATGACCGTATCATACGACAGAGTAAGAGTGAATGGAAATTTCCACCTTTGGATGTACCAAAAAACTTGATGCTTCAAATAAAAAGAAATGGAGGATATGTATTGACTTTCGAAGGTTAAATCGTATCACCATTGGAGATAGTTTTCCCTTGCCAAATATTCAAGACATATTGGATAAAGTCGGAAGAGCTAGGTATTTTTCTGCACTTGATTGTGCGAGTGGATATCTTGAAGTTC